CATTCTGCTCATGGGAGGAAACTTTTAGAGGGAACACTTCCCCCAGCCTCTCTGCTCCCGAATTAATGTCACACACGTTGGGGTAATGCAATTGCAGGATAGTTGCATACAGGGGTGGATGAGAGTGCTGTGGGGCCCAGGGCAGTGCCGCGGGGCCCAGGGCAGTGCCGCAGGGCCCCGGGCAGCAAAATTTCACGGCCCCCCCCCTTTGACACAGCGCATGCGCCGTGGTGCCAAGGTGCATGCGCGGGGCCTCGGGAAGTGCGGGGCTCAGGGCAGCCGCCCCGCTCGCCCTGCCCTAAATCCGCCGCTGGTTGCATAAGGGGAGCTTGGTGGGGGCCAAATTAATTCCTGTTGGTAGGAGGATGGTGGAAAAAGTCCTTGGGGGGGTCACATGACACCTTTTACTTCTGGTCATGTGTCACCTCCGGAGGTGTGGCCAATAGGGGTCAGGGGCATGGCTAATGGGGATCAAAGTACATTTAAAAAAAATTCTCTGGGTGCACATCCCAATGAAATGTGCTGTGCATGCATATGCAGCTCACGTGTGGTTGCAGATATATGCAGACAGCTTCTTTCGCACTGACAGGCATGAACACAAAGATGAAGGCAAGACTACACAACACGCAGGCCCCATTTCAGTCAGTTCTGCTGATATTAATAAAATGCAACATTTACCCGATTTCTGCCCTTACAGCAGCACTTGGAATGAGCAATGACAGTCTAGGAATGTAACTACTAAAACGCATCGCAACAGAAGACCGTTATATTGACGACTTTTTTGTTTTGGCTCCCACCTGGGGGCTGTGAGAGCCCCACGTAAACCCAGACTGCACCACGGGCCGCAAACAAACAGGCCACATGCGGTTCACAGGCTGCATGAGTAGCCCTGGCCTCTGTAAGGGAAGTCAGGGCCCATAGAGACACTTAGACACCCCCCAAGTGCAGCTACCCCCTTCTCATTGGTTTGCACTGATGAGCTCATTGTGGGAACAAACCAGAGAGGAAACCCAGCCCTGAGGCTCATCCCCATGCACAGGAAGCCTGGATGAATCAGTCTCCTACTTCACTGAGTAGCCCAGAGAGAAGTTAACCCCCCGCCCTGTTATTTCCCTCCTACAGTCTAGCAGCTGCTTGGAGAGCAGAGGAGTCCTGGCCCCCCCAGGAAAGGCAGGGTGCTGCAGACCGGGGCCCCAAGACTCTTCGAGGTAGATGTAACGCAGCCTGTTGTAATACCAAAGCCCGGAGGTAACAAGCAAGGTAGAGGTGGGAGGGGAGGGGATAAAACCCCCACCCAGTCTCAGGTGCTTTTTCTGGATGCCCCATATGGTGCTGCTGCTGCTGCCTCTGGTGCCAGAATCCCATAGGCCCGTGTGGAAGAATGATGCTGCATGTGGAAACACACATTCCGCAGGGGCTGGCCATGAGCAGTTCTACCGGAATGTTTTCTCCCAAACACTTGCTGCAGGGCTGGTTCTGGCAAGTGCTTCCTTCTGCATGTGTTTTGTGGGGCTCTAGCTCTGGTAGGTATCATTGCATGGTGGTGTTCGGAACTGTTGCATGCATCCATCATGTGGGATCTGCCCCAGACGTGCGCCCAGCCTGGGGCTGACTGCTAGGAGACATGCCCAGCCCCCTTTTGGTTCTGGGGAATAAACAGGCTGAAACGGTTTTGGTTCCTTCCAGCCCATCCTGTTCGCAATGCAGCATCTTCATGACCTGCATCACCCCCATTTCCTGCAGCCCAGAGGAACTGTTGCATGCATCCATCATGTGGGATCTGCCCCAGACGTGCGCCCAGCCTGGGGCTGACTGCTAGGAGACATGCCCAGCCCCCTTTTGGTTCTGGGGAATAAACAGGCTGAAACGGTTTTGGTTCCTTCCAGCCCATCCTGTTCGCAATGCAGCATCTTCATGACCTGCATCACCCCCATTTCCTGCAGCCCAGAGCCACCAGGCCCTTGCAGCATGCACAGGTGCAGTGGGACGTGCTCATAAAACCACCTCTCAGAGCCAAGTGCTTCTAGGAATTGTGGCTAAAGTACAAGGGTCACACTTCCCCCACCACTCCACAGGCAGCAGCAGAGTCCAGACAGCCTATGAGAGCCCGAATCCTTTTATAGCAGCAAGCAAACACTGGAATTGGCCCCCATGCGGGGGGAGAACAAGCACCACACACCTGTTTTACAGCCAGTGCTGGCCAAACCCACCGCCTGTTACAACAGGACAAAGCCGACTCAGACATTTCTTCAAGCCACCCAACACCGCGCCAACCCTCTGAGCACAGAACCTCGGCACGCCAGGTACAGGGAACCAGGGCATTCCACCACGCCTCAGATCTGGACCTCAGGCCTTACCCTGCAGCACAAAGCGTGACATCTGGGGGTCTGAATTCAGCAGGTGGGGGGAGGCAGTGAGAGCAATTCGCTGCCCCCCTCCAGCTGGCAGCCATCACCAAGGTGGCAGAGACCCTGGTTCTTACAGGGCCCAGCGCCCGATGGGGCCAGGAACACTCCCCGTCCCTCTGTCTCCTCAGCCCAGGACCGTGCACTTGGAATGGGACCAAAGAGCCTGCTTGTGGGTAGCAGCCAGCCACACACCCGACAAACTCCATGCACGAGCAAGCCCATTGCAGGAGTCCGCATTAGAGGAGTCTCAAAATTCCCTGGTACCCTGGGTTTCCCGTGTCCATCAGAAGGTCCCAAGCCCTCTACAGACGGCATGTGTCCCTACATTTGAGGTGGTCAGAGCCATGCCGGATGCCAGGCCGGGGGAGGGTGGGATGCCCTTAGTCCGTCTGTGCACGCAGGGATCTAGCCGGAGCACAGAACGCGGGGAGCAATCCCGCCGCCACATGGTGAAAGGGAAGTGAACAGCTCCGGCATCCCGAGGGATGCCCTTAGTCCGTCTGTGCACGCAGGGATCTAGCCGGAGCACAGACCGGGGGGAGAACCCCCCCTGCCACATGGTGAAAGGGAAGTGAACAGCTCCGGCATCCCGCAGCGCCTGGACAATCCAGAGCAAGCTTCTCTGGTACGCTCAGGCAGAACCCAAAGGCCCATCCAAGCCAGTAGCCTGCCTGCCAGCAGCGGCCAGTCCCAGGCGCCCCAGAGGGAAGGGACCGAAGAGGGAGCTAGAGGGAAATGCTCCCTCCGCCTTGACGGGGACTTTGGTTGGAGCCGGTTTGTCCAGGGTTTGCTCAGCACCTCGCCCCCGTCTGGAGCTGCCAGGCTCCGTGGGAATTCAGATCTCCCCCAGGGTGGCGAGCGGGACGCAGGCAGGGCCACCGGCACCGCAGAGCCTGGGGCTAAGCCCTGGAGGCCGAGGGGCTGCCCTCTGCAGCTGGCGGGACTGGACACAGCGCCTGGGGGCCTCTCCATCCCACGCGTCCCTGGCTCCCACGGGGCAAGATTATCTGCTGAGCAGTTCTCCTGGGGACAAACTGGGACCATCAACTCCAGGTTCTCCCTGCCGGCCAAGTGGAGCTATCGGCAGGTGGGGCTGCCCCCCCTCTTCTTCCCACCCGGGAGGGGAACGTACCTGCCAACATGGCTTCCTAGGAGAGGAGGGTCTGGGTATTTCATAGCCCGTGCAGACTGGCCCAGGTCTCAAGTGAAAGGTGACTGCTCTGAGCCCGGCCGACCCAGGGCTGCTGCTGGGCCGAGCCCCTGTCCCAGCTGCACCCCCGAGCCTGGGCTGGACCCCCCTCTGGCAGAGGGCTCGGCTAGGGAAAGGGTTTGGTCAGAAAACTCGACCCAGCGCACTGCCACGCCGGGAGCCGGGGGTGCAGTGCCGCGCCCGGGACGTCCAGGAGGAAAAGTCTTTGCTGGGTCTGGGGCGCTGAGCACAGGCTGCCGGGCCCGAGAGCCCGATGCGCGAAGATGGCCCCCCTCCCCAGCTCCAAGCCAGCCCCAGCAGCGTAGCAGGAGCCCGCAGGACAGGACGCTAGAGGCAGCAGAGGATCCCGGACACCACCCCAAATACACCCCACCTCTCACGGCGCTCCAGGCGCAAGTCCTGTCTCCTGTGCAGGAGCCGGAGCCCAGCTGGGAAGGGCCCCCAGGTCACACCTGCCAGACACCCCCGCACCGCAGGCTCCAGCCTCTGGGCCCCCAAGGTCACTTTGGCATTTAAGGGCAACCCAGGAGCTCCCCCGGCCCTTCCGCACTCTCCCCCCTTCCACTGGGCTGGGGGTGCAGACTCTGGGTTGAGGTGGAGGGATTCGCGGGGGGGCTCTTGGCTGAGCCTGGGCTGCGAGCTCTGGGAGGCAGTTTGGGTGCAGGAGGGCCCCAGGCTGAGGTGCAGCCTCCGCCTCCGAGGGGGGCTCCCCCTAGACGACACTTGGGCAGCGCCTGGTCAGGGTGCAGCAGAGGTGAGGCAGGATCCCTGCCGCACCCAGGAGGGACCCCCACAGCCTGGGCGGGGCGCACGCCCCTCTCCACAGGCACGGTCCCTGCAGCTCCCTGTGGCCGGGACTCCCCATTCCCCGCCCTGCAGGCGGGGCCGGGGCCCCGT